ACAGCAGAGGTCAGTGATTGATTTGATTTAGCCTGACATGTTTACTGTTGCAAATTATTTAAAATGTTTCCCAAAATAAATTATATATTGTGTTCAAAGAGGGAAAAGTTGTTGTTTTTTACCCAGATATTATAAGAATATATTTTAGAGCAGTAATCACAATACCATGAAACTGTAATATTTTAACCAAGGTTGTCCTACCATCAGAATCGTATACCGGCCCATGCCTACAAGGCTGCATTTATCTAATGAAGAATAGATTAAAATAGGAAAATTGTGCAATATTATATTCTCATATATTATATTTTTGTGGAAACAGTGATACTTTTTTAGATTCTTTGATTCTTAAGCAGCAATTTCAGTTTGGTGACAAAATTGACTTTTAAAGAGCAAGATAGTCTACCTGCCTCGCCTTTCCAGTTCCATATAATTTGATCTTTGATCTATGATTCTGTTTAACCACATGATTCAGTTCAATTTTGTTAATGACAAACTAAATAAAAACACAATCATAATGTAATCTTCACAAGAAAAATAAACATTATTTTATTTAACAACCCTGATTTTCTGAAAAAAAAAGATATTCTTGCTATTCAATCCAATTTGATATCTAGAATATTTGTTTTCAGAGCTTTATAGAATAATATTAACATTTTACTCAAAGCCACCTGATAAATGAAATATATATATATATATATATATATATATATATATATATATATATATATATATATATATGAGCAAAATGACTGTTTCCATGGACTTTGAGCTTTATCTGCTGATTAAATCAGATGATCAGAAGTATGACTCAGACTGGTAGAATCATCCCCTTTCTCTCTGTGACTACTGTGTCTAACACACACACATCTGTACCTTTATCAGTGATATTGCTTCTGACAAATGGGATATGATAGCATTTAATATGTCACATAATGAAAAGGGGCTGAATTTTGAACTGAATCACTGGTTACTAATTTACAAATGACAACTACTTCACAACTCACCCTTATGTCGTCATTGCGTTCCGGTCAGATCGGCTGCTGACGGCGCTATTAATCACCGTGTTGTTGCTCAGGTAACTAACAGCAAACCCTGAGCAAACATGACATGTTGACATCTGTAAACAGATATTTACATGCATTGCGCTTCCCTTCAGACTGAGATTTCCTGAGTGTCTTTTAAGATTCTGAACTGATTTGTTGAATTCCAGAGTGTGATAAAATCAACACGTCTCTTATAAAAAACAAGTAGGGACTGAGTCTCAACATGGGACAGCCTGCCCAAGCTCAGAATTTGCAATGAGTTTGTCAAAACCTGAAGACCAACTTTTGTCTGTTATTGAATATGCTGGGAAAGCAGATGTAAAATGTGCATTTTAAAACATTTTAGTGTTGAAGAAGAAGGACTGAGTTGTTGTATCCATGGAAATGTAGATAAAAAAACATGTCAGCAATTTTGGTTCACGTGATTACAGCAATTATCTTGTTCAGAAATGTTAAGCCTCATAATGGGCTGAGATAAGATAAGAAAAATCATTAAATATGATACCATGAAATGTAAAAAAATTCAGATAAGATAGAATTTTTTAGTGCTCTCATAGCAAAGAAAATTCACATTAAAAAAAAGGATTTATTTGTGCTCAAATTATGCAAGATTTCGATGAATCATCCATTTTTTTAAATTAAGTCTTGACTTTGTTTTTAGTTGCTATGTTTCAGTTCTTGTTCTGCTAACTGCCATCTTTGTGTACTTTGTCTAGTTTCTAATCCGAATGACCTTTATGAGAGTTGGCTTTTGTTATCTAGATAACAATATATGCCTTGTTTTGCTAGTTGCCAACTTTTTGTCTTTTATCTAGTTACTAGAATCCAATTATGTTTGTTTGTTAGTTCGCTTATGGAGTGGTCGCCACCTTTTTTTGTTTTAGTTGGTGTAGTTACCTTAAGGCATCAGATACCCTAAAGTTTTCGGTTTGATTTCTACATTTTCCTTTGGTTAGTTAGTTAGTTAGTTAGTTAGTTAGTTAGTTAGTTAGTTAGTTAGTGGCAGGGTTCTTATGGGTGCTGAAAATCCTGGAAAATGCTTGATTTTTAATACAGTGTTTTCAAGGTTAGAAAAGTGCTTGGATTTTGGAAAAAAGTTTTTGAACCTGGTTGAATTTGCAGGGCTTGAAATTGTGACTGTTTTGGTTGCATATGTGCACAATTTTATCTATGTAACCTCAACATATATTTGGGAGCATTTGTGCGAGTGCATAAATTGTTGCCGTGGACCAGTTTTCATTGCAAAATGTTCACCACATAATAATAATAAGCTAAAACAATCTGAATTTGAATTGTGTTAAATTGAATTATTAACAATTGTTAATAATACTGATTATGTCCTATTAGAAATGTTTTGAATTTGTATTTCTTAACTTGATTATTGAACATCTGAAATTTAAGACAACTTAATTTTTTGTGTCAGATATTTATAGAGATATTTTTAAACCTGAAACAACAATCCAATGACTGTAAAGAAAAAATAGCAATGCACATGAAATATCATGAACGACTGGTCATGAAAGGTTGGTACTACACCCAAACAAAATCTGACTGTAAGCTCATTTCTTGAGATATCAATTTTAGGTAGAAAGAGATCAAACTTAAAAGCATACTTCATCCACTAACTAAACTTTTTTTAAATTTATTTATTTATTTTATCATTTTTGGGTAAACTATCCCAATAAATCTATGCTCTAAAGTGTTCAAGAATTTTTTGTTTTTTAAAATAGCACAATAGATTTAAATGTGAAAAAGTACATACAAAATATATAAACGTAATTAACCGTGGTTATTAGGTGCTGGAAAAGCATACAAATGCACCTTGAAGGTGCTTGAAAAGTGCTGGAATTTGAAGTTGGAAAAGGTGTAAGAACCCTCTAGTGGGTTTGGCGTTTAATTGGGCTTGTTTGTTTTTGTTTAAGCAAGACTTTTGTTTGTTTTGCTTTTGATTTCTTTTTGTTTACATTTTTCTTTCAAATTTCCATTGTTTGTCCTCTTTTTCACCCAGCACTGCTATGATCTCACGTAAATGTTACATCTAATTCTTTTTACATCAAACATTTATTCATTCATTCTCCTTAAGCTTAGTCCCCTATTCATCTGAGGTCACCACAGTGAAATGAACCTACAACTATTTTGGCATATGTTGACCCAGCGGATGACCTTCCAGACGCAACATAGTATTGGGAAACACCCATACACTCCCACACATATTCTTACACAACGGTCAATTTAGGAGGAAACCCACACCAACATGAGGAGAACATGCAAACTCCACAGAGAAATGCCAACTGGCCCAGCCAGGACTCGAACCAGCGACAATGCTGGTCACTGAGCCACCATGCAACCTTAAATCAAACTCTTAACATTCATTTCAAGAGTTCATACTTAGATAGTGCTTGACTATTTAAGCTAGTTTGGCATGCTGTCCCGGGAGAGAACCCTGAGCTTGGTGATAGATGAGCCCAAGGCTCCCGCCTGGTCAATAAGCATTAGGAGGGATATGAGATCAGGTAGTTCTCGATAGCTCCCAAAATAAATCACTATTGGCGCTAATTTGTAGTATGTGCTTGTGACTTTAACTTTGCATGGTTTTTTGGGTGTGGGAGGAAACCGGAGTACCCGGAGAAAACCCACGCGAACACGGGGAGAACATGCAAACTCCGCACAGAGAGTATCGGTTGGCTCAGCTAGTGTTGATTCAATGACCTCCTTGCTGTGAGGCAACAGTGCTTGCCACTGAGCCGCCGTGACGCCCGAACTGAGGAGGAGGGAGAAGGGAAGGATGGGGGGTTTTTCCAAAAACGAAGATGAGGAATAGAGTTTAGGCTGAATATTTATATTAAATTTAGAGTGATCCGATTGGTTAGTTAGTGATTAGTGATATGGATCAGCTGTAGTCAATTCTATCACGTGCTCCTCTCGAAATTAGTTTGGGAAACTTCACTTATTTGTTTATTTAGTCTTCCTTAATCTCTAGTCATCTAGTTTGGCCGACTGACCATTCTTCACTAGATCTTGACCATGTCTGGCCTTGACTCACTAGTCTCTAATAGCTTGTGTTGAGATTGATTATTTTTCCAACAAGCATCTTTAAATATATGTTTGCAAATAGACCTGTCAGTGTAAACTCATGAGAGCATTTCCCTCAGGGACTTGGTGTTTTTCTCTGCCGTCTGGGTTATATAATAATGCAAATAAGCATATTGATGCCTTTGTTATTTATCTACAATGGAAAACTCATCAAGGCGTGTGTGTGTGTGTGTGTGTGTGTGTGTTGTTTCCTGCTTTTGTACATGCGAGAATTTATCCAGAGCATATGGAACACCTCAACAGAAGTCTCTCGAACTCGAGGGCAGTGTTGAGAGAGTGTTTTATATGGAGTGGAGAGATGAACATCAGGATGTGACAGGATAAGTGATCCAGACGCCCCGCAGGATGTTGTCGCTCAAGTCCAAGACCATCTGTTACTTCAGTTTGTGGCATTTTAGATTGAGTCCTGCTTTTGTGTGCTCAGGAAGGACCACTGAGTTCAGTGTTTTTACTCAGACTGAAATCAGAACAGACTAATACGGATGATTCTTGGTAGGGATTAAAACCCATTTCTGGAGGGAAAGAAAAAAGATATTTGATTTAAACTGTCAAAATCTGTATTCAAGAAAGACTGCTTTATCTTCCTCTTTGGCTTAAGAGTGGAGAAGTGTAGGAGGTTCATCCTGATTTACCCAAGCATTAAAACACCAAGGGCAAAGCTGTGATATCCCTAAAATCTACAGGACGTCATGTCAATGAGATCTCCTTAAGCAAGGGTGCTGGCTCTTTTAAAAGTAGGTGTAGAGCTACTTTGCGATGCCAGAAAGCTCTTTCACAGCCTTAGGTGAGAGCTTAAATGTACCACACAGTTTTGTGACTTATGTGCCAAGCAAATTATAACTTCTGGCTTGTTTCCACCTTCAGCAGATGGAGTGAGGTCTGAACTCCGCATCTTCCATCAATCGTGCGCCCTGAAGAAAGATGAAGGGCCGTGCAAGGCAATGAAGGACAGGTTTTACTTTGACATCGACACCGGCCGTTGTGAGCCCTTTGAATATGGAGGCTGTCAAGGCAATGCAAACAACTTTGAGACCCTGCAAGACTGCGAGGAAATGTGTCTTGTGACAGGTACGGCAAGTTTTACCTTACCCGTGCACTTCTGTGACCAATAAGCATTAAATTAACACAAATATCACCCCCTGCTCCATCAGAAAATGGTGAAATTCACTTAAAATAACCTTCAGATTCAACTCATCTTTCAGAATGAGGATCTGCTCTTTGTGTTAGTTATTTCATTTTCACACAGTATATTGGATGACCTGACCCAGACTCATGTGTCATGACTATATTCCAAACACTCTCTCTCTCACACACACACACACACACACACACACACACACACACACACACACACACACACACACACACACACACACACACACACACACACACACACACACACACACACACACACACACACACACACAGGCTATAAACCAAGCATTTCAGATAAGCCTATCTTAGGTTAAGTAAAAGGCTAAGATTACTAATATAGAATTGAGGAATAACTTATGAGTAACTGTGTTATATTGTGAATGAGTCAAAGTTTAATGCACTATGGAGTACTTGCCTTTATAGCTTTTATGAAAGTATATTTTATATAATTATAGGAAAGAAATGATAGTAAGAATTAATAAGTATTTTCAATAGAATGTAAAAGATATGAAGGTATTATCCGTGACGTCACCCATAGGTTTTTGAAGAACGCAAAAGAAGCTACAAGTATGCGTGGCCAACTGTCGCCATTTTGTTCATGAGTCATTGCATGACCGGGGGATACCAAACAAGGGCAAAGAGGCGGAGCATGAGCTAAAACAAATACATTCATTGAGATGGTATATAAGTATATAATTTCACTCACCTGGGAAATGGAGGCAACTTGAATAGTTTGTGAGCACAATTAAGTGCACACAGCATGCCATGTCACCTGATAATTGTAAAAAATAATTCCAAAAAGCAACTATGTAAAGCCACAAAAAACACCAGAAAAATATGATGTACATGCCGAGTTCAGCAGCTAATCAGCCGGAATCAGCTGAGGTGAAGTGACGCAAGACCTGTCACTCAATTGGCCACACCTTTAATTAAGCACTTAATATAAACAAATTGAATGAGTTATAAAAAAATTCAACCCCCCTTACAGTTGTTATGAAGGGTAATATTAGCTAAATGAACCAAATCGTTTTTTGTACCAAGCTGCAAACACCTTTTTTCTGCTGTAAAGTTGGCCATTTTAACAGTGGGCTCAATAGAAATCTGCTTTATTTTGGAGCCAGGACTAGCGGAATTTCAGTAAATTGCAGTTTTAGTTCCTTTCCATTAGCTTCACAAGGGAGAGCGGGAGGTTGCCGCTTGGTTGAAAGTACTATTAAAGTGATTGTTTTTTTCAGCATTCTAAAACTGAAACTAAATCTAAAATAAAACATACATTTTATTTGTAGACAAATAAATTAGAAAGATTGTCTTAACTAATGAGTGAATTATAGTTACAGTTCTGCAATGACAAAAGAAAAGAAAAAAAAAGTCTTTGGCATGTAAACAATAACAGCACGTTTGCGAATGGGTGCAGCAGAGTTATGTGGACATTGCACGTCATATCTGTACTTTACTACGCCTGGAATGTTGTATTGACCAATCGGGACCCAAAACCAGAACTGTTTGTTTTATAATCATAGATTTTAGATGCATTACAACACAGCATATACTTTTATGGGAACAGTGAAAAGTTCACCATGAGGGAGTGACTCCCAAACGGCTCATTACCAGCCCATAAAAAACAATAATGTAATGCATTGCTGTGTTACTGCAAATTACAACTCATTAAAGATTAGTTTACACACTCAGAAATAAAGGTACAAAAGCTGTTGCTGCGGCTGTACCTTTTCAAAAAGTACACTTTTGTACTTTACAGCTGCACATTAGTACCTTTAGGGTACACTTTTGTACCTTTAAGGTACTTTGAGGAACACATTTGTACTTTTAAGTAATAATACAATATGTACCTTTACAAATAGTAACAGAGATTGTTATTAGATGTAACCAGTGACAGGTTTTGTACCTTTATTTCTGAGAGTTCAGTAAAAAAAGTGTTGTTTATGACTTAAACTAAATTATATTGTAAAGAAAATTATATTGTATAAGACTAATTTGAGATTGAAAATTGTCAAGGATCTGTTAAGAAGTCATCAATGCTTTTAAACAAAGACATTATTGTGTGTGTAAAGGTGCAGGATGTAAGTTTCACACCCAGTGGTTGAACTAGATATTGCATGCTTGGTTCAAAACACAAGCTAGCACCGATTGCCAGATTGACAACAAACAAAAGCAGTGGGCCTGACTGCCAAGCCTAAAGGCAGATTTAAACCGTGTCGGACAAAGGAATATTTTCCATATTAAAAGGAGTTTTTGTCCTAACCAACACCTGAAATTTATATTTTAGAAACAGCTTCTTGCAGCTGAACAACAGAAAACTGCAACGATCACCTCAGGTACACCTTGTGTGCTTTATTCAGTGTTAAATGCTAACAATGTGAGTTTGAATATCATTTTACTTGACATTTATTGGCATACTACTGAAAGCAGCAGCAGATAGTTCACCTCAGATCCTGAAAATACAGTAAACTGTTTGAAATTTAACTTTAGAACTGTGCGAACCAACACACATCAGTGATTCAGCATGTGCAATTAATTTACAATCATTATTAAAGAGGTTTAATATGTATTATTAAATTATAAACTTTACTATTTTGTTAGAGTGCAGTAAGTGCACTATTCTGTGCTTCTGAAAGGCTGTATGTATATTTCTGTCGTGTTGTGTAGGGCGCAATCAGCCAAATTGCTTATCACTGCAAATCTGGCCACGTGGCGTGTTGTTAGGACACGGGGTTACAATGTATCCTGCTCACCTAATGTTTACATTTGTAATTTATATTATTTGCTAATTATTAACCACCTCGTGTGGAACTCTACTACTGTCCACCGGAGGTCACAGTTTTGGATGCAGGTGCATAATTTGAGAGTCTTTCTGAATGAATAAACGAAATACACAAAGGCAACCCGGGCAGCTGAAATATAATTGGCTAAACTGGCAGTGGGCAGGTTAAATGACCAAACAAAGACAGACGTTTCGGCACATAACGCACATTTACAAAGCAGAATAACTGACTTCAGCACTGATTTTCAGATAAACAAGTATGTTCACTTAGTAGGTTTCTTAAATATCTGCAAACATATTATGGTATTTTATGGTTTAGAAGAGTGTAAAACTTACATACTGTACAGGTCCGTGTATCATCCGTTCATTTGATTATTCCTTTTATTACGGAAAACGAAACATCAGAAAAACGATGAATATTTCGTTTTTCTGTTTATTTTGTAGGCAGAAAAAACGGAAACATCTGTTATTCTGCTTATTAACTTAAAACGAAATATTAAAACAAACACAAAACCAAAACGAAATAATGAGTCAAAAAATGGTCCGTGTACGGTCCGTGTACGTTTTGTTCATTTGTTTTCCATTTTCAAACGGAATAAAGGAAATTGAGAAAACGGCCGTTTTTCCGTTTTTCTTTTGCTCACGAGAAAACGAAAAAACGAGATTTTGGCTGGATTTTCGTTTTTTGGTTTAGGGTAGGAAAACGGATAAACGACTTTAAAATTCATTTTACACATGTAGGCGGTGCTGAAACGCCCACTTTCCTCTAATTGGTTAACCAAATCTGCGCTCGTGACGTCACCCTCAAAATAAAAGCCTTACACGCAGGCTTTTAATTATTATTATTTAATTATATATATAAACAAAGTTTACATATTCTATCATTTGAACCACACACAGTTAGCAGGCTTACATTCATTGCGTATGTATAAATTAAATAAAAACGTAAATCAGCAGTATTCTTAGACATTTGTCATTAAAATGAGGTCATAGTTCACTGCCAAGCTTCTTGCTGCTGTGTACCTGATGCAGAGCAAAGATAGCCATTTCCGAGCAGCACCTGGTTTACATGATTGTTTCAGAGCTATTGTAGGCCTAAATAATAGCCTACTCTGTATAAAATAATAATTTATTATTATTATTATTATTATTATTATTATTATTAGGCCTATTATTATTAGTATTGTTATTATTATTATTTACTTAGTTATTTAATGGTTGTAAGAACACAATGGACCCTGCATGGGGCTATAATAAATGGTACCATTTGTTTCTATTGGATTTTCTCCTATTTTAATTTAATATATGCCTTTAGCCTATTGTAAATATTTATTTGATAATTAATACTTTTTTATTGCAACGTCAAAGTAGGCCTGTCTTATTATTATTATTTTTTGTTATTATTTTGTCGTTGTTGTTGTTATTATTATTGTAGCAGGAACATAGCCACAGGTGTGGCAGAGTGTGCTGGTGCCACCCAAAGTGGCATCTTGCACCTGAAAAAAGATGCCTTCGCGCTCAAGCGCGCGCAAAAAACTTACACAGGCAAAAGTAATGATGAATGTGTTGAAGGAAAAAAAAACATTCTAATTATTTGTTAATAAAATAGTGCAACATTATTCTCAGTCAGTGTAGGCTGAAAAAATTAAGATCGCCAGCATTTCAAGGGTGGTTTTATTTTTAGTTCATTGCTGTGACGCGCTATATTTCACTAAGGCTGCATGAGACTGCGCATCTTGCTTATTTTCTCTATTTTACATACAGAACATATCATACAGTCCAGGTTCTACCGTTCTAGTGAGTGTCGGGCATTGCTTTACGGTGGTAAAGTGGATTATTTCTTGGCAAATTCATAATGATTCACTTTGTTTAGTAATAAATTTCATATTATAAAATAACTACATTTCAAGAATATGTTAACACTTTCAACTATTTAGGATTATTTATTGCATCAAAAGTAATTTCAAAGTAACATTAAATGTACGTATAAACTGCTTAATTTGTGTGTGTAAACACCTAAGATGCAAAAAGCTTATTTAGACCAGAATAGGCCTATACTAAATGCAACGGTCAATGTATGTAAACTTATGACCTAAAATGTCTTAAATGACTAAATTTAAGTCTTTTTAAGTTT